CTTCCTCTTCTCATACTAAACATTCAGATCCTTCCCGAACTGCAAGCATCAGGTTGTTTGTGTCAAGATTGATTTATCCGTGTCTTTTCATCTACATCCTGTGTTTCTTCTGATGGTTAGCGTGGTGCGCTACGTTGTGTTATGCTAATGGTTTCAGGCCCGGGGTTGCTGCTAATGACACGGTTGTAATTGTTTGTCAGTGTGATAATGTGTGATTTCATATTTCCATGTGAAGTTGGACATTTGATGAAGGAGGGATGTTGTCAGGAAGACAAAGTGCTGTCATTTGTCACCGGCTAAATGAGCTCCTCTTGGCTTTCAATAGCAATATAATATTCACACATCTCCTTTCCTTAGTTTTTGGGCTGTTGCCATGATGTCCACATCCTTCAGAGCATCAATGAGAGAGGTTGTGTTCTGTGCTGACGTTTAGAAATCTGTTAACTGTATTTCACCGAAACACAGAAGTGAAAATAGAGTGTGGTAATCTTTTATTCTTAGTGTTTGCTAGGAGTCGTCACTTCCTTAAACATTTTCAAACCATTTCATCATCTTCACAGCAGTGGTGTAGTAGTGTAAGTATATTAACTCAAGTACTGTACCAAAGTACAATTTTTAAATACTTCACGAGAATATTTTGATTTCATGATACTTTATACTTCTTTTCCACTACATTTAAGAAACCAATATTGTCCTTTTTACTCCACTACCATTAAAAGTGCCCTATTGTGCTCCTTTCCAGGTTCATATGTATATGTTGTGTCACACTGTGACATGTCTACTTGTTTTAATGTTAATTTCAATAATCAATAATAAAAAATCAAGAAATGTAAAATATGTGATTCTCAATATAAGCCATTAGGGATAGCAAGTACTTCTACTTTTTGTATTTAAGTATATTTTGATGCCCATACTTGTGTACTTTTATGTAAGTAATATTTACTTTAAAGTATGTACTTCTTCCTCCTTTCTGAAAGAGAAGACTGTGTCCCTGTGTACACTGAGGATTTTAAATAGCTTCTGCATTTTGTAATATGACAAACTCATGAGGCACATAATTGCAGCCATTGTAGCAGAGGATTGTTGGCCTGCCTTCGTACTTTCCAAAGTCTTTGAAGTACTCGCCCCCTGAACAGACTGCTTCTGTTTCTGATTAGTCTGATCCCATATTGTGGGGTTGGGGGGGCAGATCCCTGCTAGTTAACAATGTAATGAGATAAACAAGCCAAACAAAGGAGAGGTAGAGTGAATGGGTCTCCAGAGGGAGCTACTTATTGTCCCATTGCCCCTCATGTCTTCCGTATCGATTCATGTCTTCCTTCCTAACGCTGCGTCCTCTGTAGCACACGCAGGGCGGGGTAATCAGCTAAATGTAGCCTCTGCTTTCTTATTACTACCTGGGTGCTTAACACTGATATTTCTTCCCCCTCTTCAAGGACAAACGGTGTAGAAGGCAGATCCCGTGTGAAGTCCCCGAGCTCTCGCCGAGCAGCAGATCCCTTTTCAGTGCCAGCTGTTCTCTCAGATACATCCGGCCGTTCTGAAATTCTCTTAATATAATTCTGGGGGGGGGGTAGGCTCAGGAGAATTGTGCAAAACAAGCGTGCCAGCCAGGAGAACGTTGCATTTTTCATCAGCGGCCTCAACTCGCTGAGTTAGTGGGCAGCGCTCTCATTCATGAGCAGATGTTCAGCGCGCTTACACTCTGCAGTTAATGTGAACTTACTGGCCTCTCCGCCATTGGCTGCAAGGACGTTGGCAGCGACCTGGCATCTGAGAATTACTCCCAGTAAAAGACGCGGGGCCTGGAAAGCACCGGCCTTTTTTAGCCACTTCCCGGCCCCGGGAGCTGGATCCCGGACAGGGGAAGGCTCTGACAGCCCATCCGTCTTGGACCGGACAGTGATGGAGCGCTTACCACTGTTTGCTCGGGGAATAGCGAGGAAATTCCTGAAGATAATGTCCACAAGTTAATTTCTAATGCCTTGCTCAGCAGGTGCCTGTATGAGCATTACATATAAGTACATGAAAGTACCATCCCCCGTATAAACTAGTTTTACATGCAGAGGATTAACTCCAGTACCCTTGAAAGAGGAAATTCGTAGAAAGAAGGCACCTGTGCGGGGGTAACAGTTTGGCCCTGGTTGGTCTATAGCTGAAAGCAGCTGGTGCTGTGGTCAGTGTGTGTGTGTGTGTGTTTGAGGAGGAGGGGGGTGTATCCTCTCCACAGCCTGGCACTTCAGACATCTGCATGCCCAAGCTGCTCAGCCTGGGTTTGATGTGGCCATACAGATCTGTAATGGCTCCCTTCTAACTAAGCAAAACGCTTTTTGATTTAAAGTGCCATTAACTGGTCAGAGTGTGTACGTGACATCAGGTTTAGTAGGCGGCATGCCAATCATCTCCTACGTGTGTGTGTGAAAGTCATCACAGTAAAGTTGTGCATATGGGACTCAAACAGTGGAAATGACAAGCTCTTGTTTCCTCCGCGTCTCATTTTCACTTTCTAATTGGTCGTTTTCAGGTTGGCTTTACGAGAGCAAAACTAATTAGTGTTTCTAAATTCAGCAGAAAAAAAAAAGAAAGTCAGCCGGCTTGATTGTGCTGGTTTCCTCTCCTGTGTCAGGCGCTCGACAATAAAATAAGACTCTAATCATTTTCAAATTGCTCGTATTTTTGAAGCCCAAAGCTCAATGTCACTCCCGGTCTCCTGGCATTTTGTTTGGCAGGATCAGGGAGCGGCGGTTGCCCTCTCGCCTGTGTACTCTCGCCTGTGTACTCTCGCCTGTGTACTCTCTTTGTAATTCGTGGGAAGTTTGGACTTAGGACCGGTGGAAAAAAAAAGAACAAAAAAAGAAAAGCCTTGTGAGTTTTAGGTGGGGTTGTTTCTGCTTTGATTGGGAACGTCCTGCTGACAAGAGCAGCCGAGCAAGTTTACAGTAGCTGTGACATTGCTGTTACCTTTATTCAAAGTGCTCCAGCTGCAGCGAGCCCTCAGGAAGCAGCGCGGGCCCACATGGGCGGCCGGCGGCCCACAGGGAGGAGAGCGAGGCCCTGTTTGAGTTGGCAGACACCCCCCCTCTCGGATAACTTTTGCTGCCTCTGCAGAAAGGCCGGTAGCGGCGGCTCTGGCGTGGCGGCGGTGATTCTGGGGGCAGGATGGGCTTTTTCCACCTCTCCTCCCTTTCAGGAAACACATTTAGCTGTTTCTTCCCTCTGCGTTTGCAAACCAAGGCGTTAAGGTGAAGGGGCATCAGCCAGTAGGGCTGTGAGAGGCTGATTTCAAAACCAAATGCCTTTTAAGCATGGAGCTTCATTTATATTGGATACAACCAGTGTGCTGTTTTTTATTTTCCCATCAACCCTGTTACGATCCAGCCTTCAGAAGCCCGTAATTAAAACATGCCTGATCTGAGGTCAGGGAGGAGCATTGTTTAAATGCAATTAGTGCAAATTAATTTGGACCCAGTTACAGTTTTTGTGTCATTATTTGTTTAATCAAGGGAGTTCCCGTTTAAGATGCTAAATATGTATCCACCACTGTGAAGCTATTTAAGTCTGCTTTAATGAATATTCATTTCAAAGTGACCTGTTTTGAGTCCCTTCACTAGTGCGCTCATACTCTGCCGTGTGTGTGTGTGTGTGTGTGTGTGTGTGTGTGTGTGTGTGTGTGTGTGTGTGTGTGTGTGTGTGTGTGTGTGTGTGTGTGTGTGTGTGTGTGTGTGTGTGTGTGTGTGTGTGTGTGTGTGTGTGTGTGTGGTGTGTGTGTGTGTGTGTGTGGTGTGTGTGTGTGTGTGTGTGTGTGTGTGTGTGTGTGTGTGTGTGTGTGTGTGTGTGTGTGTGTGTGTGTGTGTGTGTGTGTGTGTGTGTGTGTGTGTGTGTGTGTGTGTGTGTGTGTGTGTGTGTGTGTGTGTGGTGTGTGTGTGTGTGTGTGTGTGTGTGTGTGTGTGTGTGTGTGTGTGTGTGTGTGTGTGTGTGGTGTGTGTGTGTGTGTGTGTGTGTGTGTGTGTGTGTGTGTGTGGTGTGTGTGTGTGTGTGTGTGTGTGTGTGTGTGTGTGTGTGTGTGTGTGTGTGTGTGTGTGTGTGTGTGTGTGTGTGTCCTAGCATTACTATACTTGTGGGGACCTAAATCTGTTTACACAGTCACGTGTGGGGACTCGCCTCCTTTATGGGACAAAATGGAGGTCCCTATGAGGGGAATCATTACTTTTAGTGTGAAGACTTGGTTAGGGTAAGGGTTAGGGTTAGGCATGTGATGGTTAAGGTTAGGATAAGTCTCCAGGAAATGCATGTAAATCAATGTAATGTCCCTGAAGTGATGTATACATGGTGTGTGTGTGTGAGACATAATAAATAATAACCCAAACAGTAGGGCTGCACAATGAATTGTAATTTAATCAAAATCACAATATTTGTATCTCAAAAGGTGCAGTATTTATTACAGCTAAAAATATGTGTGACGTATACATTTATATTCTGAATTAAATTAGGCTCATTTTTAGGTTTCACAGATGTATCTGTTGTGCCTCTACTGGGACATGTCTCCATGCTTTAATGTTCAAAAAGCTCTTTATTTTTCTCATACTGCCTGTGCTGCAGCACCTCTTTTCACCCTCTGTCCGAAACCAGAGCCCAGTCTGCTCTGATTGGTTAGCGGGCCGGCTCAGCTTTGAGATGTCCCGCCCCTTAGTGTATTTCAATGTGTTGCCAATAGAAGTGATGTCACTCAAAATCACAACATGATCATTTTAAACAATGACAATGGGAACAATGATCCCAGTTTGAATACCAGTCTCAATAATCCCACTAAGTTGTATTGTTATCCAAACCATGCAGCTCTTACCAAACGGAATCTGTTGTGACTTCACTGATTGTGGGAGAATGTCTGTTTTGCTTTTTGTTAGTCACCTTCAAATAATTTCCACTGTTTGTTTTCCCACCCCCTCCTTCCTACCTACTCTCTTCTTCTTCTCTCCTCCTCCTTTTTCTCGCCGGTGCAGCGAGGAGACTCCAGTGGTGACGTCCTGTGGAGCCACAGATCGAAGTAAGTACTTCTGTGCTTGCCCGTACACAACAAACACGTGTATTAGCGTCGGTGTTTTCTAACTTGAACCGGTTTTTAAATGCCTTTTACAGAGAAGGGCATTGTATGGAAACTGTTGTGCAGCTAAACGATAAGGTTTTGCATAGTAACTCTTCCTGGTTTCCTGATGCAGTTTCATATTTACATCACTTTGAATGATGCTGAGGACAGTGAAGAGGTCAAGCAGTTGAAGTGTTGAGTTGCGAACCTGAAAACTATTGTGCAGAATCATGTCTGCATCCCCCTGACTATCGTAGAAGTCATTACTCCTTGTGTGGTGTATAAACACGTCAAAAACAAACAATGACCCCGGGCAGACTGCACACTGCAAAACAATTTCAAAGTCCGCCGTGTAGTGTAAACACGAAACACGGACAACCTTCACGCAGCGAAGACTTCACTGTAAACCCGGTGTTTGTTTTATAGTCCCCGTCGACCTTGGTCCGATGCAGTTTACGTCACTTCAGGTCCATGTAGCTGACATTCAGGTGGAGGCTCTCACTGGAGCTCACTGAAGGGTTGTCATGTTGTGGTTTGATGGAGGCTGTGGATTTTTGTTATTCAGAAATACACAAAATAACCATTTCTCTCAAATATTGTTCACAAATCTGAAGAAATCTGTGATAGTGAGCACTTCTCCTTTGCCGAGATAATCCATCCCACCTCACAGGTGTGGCATATCAAGATGCTGATTAGACAGCATGATTATTGCACAGGTGTGCCTTAGGCTGGCCACAATAAAAGGCCACTCTGAAACGTGCAGTTTTGCTTTATTGGGGGGGTCTGGGGGGGGTCCGAAAAGCCAGTCAGTATCTGGTGTGAGGGGTAGGGTTAGGGTTAGGGGTAGGGGTAGGGTTAGGGTAATGTTGTGAATCGAGTGGCCCATGGTGGTGGTGGGGTTATGGTATGGGCAGGCGTATGGTATGGACGACGAACACAGGCCACTCGATTCACAACATTACCCTAACCCTAACCCTACCCCTCACACCAGATACTGACTGGTTTTCGGACCCCCCCAGACCCCCCCAATAAAGCAAAACTGCACGTTTCAGAGTGGCCTTTTATTGTGGCCAGCCTAAGGCACACCTGTGCAATAATCATGCTGTCTAATCAGCATCTTGATATGCCACACCTGTGAGGTGGGATGGATTATCTCGGCAAAGGAGAAGTGCTCACTATCACAGATTTTTTCAGATTTGTGAACAATATTTGAGAGAAATGGTTATTGTGTGTATAGAAAATGTTTTAGATCTTTGAGTTCATCTCATGAAAAATGGGAGCAAAAACAAAAGTGTTGCGTTTATATTTTTGTTCAGTGTATGTTATCCATTGAAAAAACATTTTAAAACATTTTTTGCAGAGCCTCAACAAGCTTAAGACCCTCTTAAAAGCCAAACTAACAGTTGTTAAAGATATTTTACTTACCTTTTCTTATTAACACAGTATACCAAAGCGTAGACATACTCTGTCACAGTTATAAGTCCTGCACTGAAGTACAAAGCATAGTGAAACTGCTAATCCAATGAGGGTGTTCTCATATCTAAATGACTATGTATCACAACATAGTGTACTGTGTTTTCACAAAGACTCTATTCTTGGATGCTACTATGTAGATATTTCAAAAATGATAAATAAAGAATATTTGTCTAATTTCAAGAATTAAACTGCAAAGTGAAATAAAAATAAAGGGAATACAATAAATCAATATTCCATTTAAATATGTATACCAGTTTGTTTATGAGCTTGAACTGCGTTGTAATGTAAAAAGTGATTCAAACACAAAATCTGCTATCTTTAAATGATTCAGTGTTCTCATCATCTTCTGAGAAATGTGACACCGCGGGGTCTTAAAAAGTATTACAAGTTGATAAATCAATTTAGCGAAAATGAAGGCTATTAAAAAATATTAAACGGCATTTCCAAGGTATTACATTTTGTAGCTTGTTTTCAATAAGTATATAAATGGTCCAAAGAGGTTGTATTCTACAGTTTGCCTGAATGTAATCATTGCGTAGGTGTGTAGTGTGATTCTGTGTAGTTTATTTATGGCATCCCGTTGGATGTGACGTCATCTGAACAGGACATCGCGCGCTCACTGCTTGATAGCGCGCGAAGGTCCGTTTACGCCGGTTGTTAAGCAACATCGTTATGGGGAAATGCAAGTCTGCGTCCAAATGGTTGGAAGATAAGGAGGAAGGACAATCAATACTGTATATAGTCAATGTGAGGTAAAGTGTGTCGCCAGTGTAACCGGTTAGAACTCCAAGTGGCGATGAGGTCCTAAAATGTATGGAAAGGGTCTTAAAAAAGGTCTTCAAAGGTTTTACATTTGACTTCAGGATTCCTGCATATACCCTGCGTGAGTTAGTTTGTGCAAGTTATTGTCAATGAAGGAGACATCATTGTATATGCACATTTCTCAAAACACAAGTCTTTCCAGATAAGAGTCCTAAGAGTCGATACATTCATAAATTAAAGTATTGAGTCGATGCCAGGCCTTAACTTCAAGTACAAAGAGTACTAATGATGCAGAATAGCCCATATTAGAAACACATATATCATTTGAATAGATTATAATTATTGATGCAATAATGTGCACATGTTGCAGCTGGTAATTGTGAAGCTGATTTTGATTAATTCATACTGTATATATTTTATATATAATTTACGATGCTGCTATAACAACTTGTATATTCCCCTTTGGTACCAATAAAGCCTCATTTATTTAGATTTAAATATAAATAAATAAGAATATATATATATAAGTAACTGATATTAATACATATAAAGGTGAGAAGTGTAACATCTGCTTCTGAGATTGAGTGGACTAGAAGAATAAAGTAGCCAATTAGTCAAGTTTACTGCAAGTACAGTACATATACAAATGTATTTAATTACTTTACACCACCGCTTACAAATACATGCATTTAAAGGGAGAAATTACTGGCGATTTCTTCCAAAAACAACCCAAAGTCCTTGATGTTCAAACTGAAATGTTATTGTACAGCGAGAGTAAACACTGCTCTGCTGGCGCGTATATTTCCTGAGCGATGAATATGCATATTCCTGTTCCACAGACTCCTCTCTGAGCCGGGGGGTGACTGTAGGGCGATGTGAACCCGCGGTTTTAATAAAGCCCAGCTGCCGAATGATCAAATAGTGTCTCTAATTAACGCCTGCGTGTACACCCGTGTAAAATTCTCCCTGGAATGCTAACAACCTGTGATATTTCCAGAGGAATTTGCCATGCAGGTCTCAGAGAAGAGAGGAGGTGGAGGTGGTGGAGGTGGTGGATAGGAGGGTGAGTGGAGTGTTTTGGGCGGGAGGAGGGGCAGTGTTCATGTGGCAAGCCAACATGTTGTTCACATCCGTGTCAGATTGAGGCTAATGAAGGCCAGACGGATCCTTGGATGCGAGCCTTAAGTAAATGATCCCTCTTTGAATATATTAGAGCCCCGTAGCCGCGCCATGCAAACCCCCCTCCCTTAAGTCTTGCCGTGTTTTTGGGGTCTGACGAGGCCGGTCAGAGCCACTGTCACGGTGCGCCATTTTCCAAATGTACCATCCATTGCAGCAGCATTGTTACATTGGAGCTACACACGCTAACGTTAGCAGGCTTCTGAAAAACTGTTTGGTAGTAAATGGAAAGTATGAGTGTTGTGTCATTTGACAATGTATGAGCCACCAAAAAGGAAAAATCCCCCGCCCCCTTAAGAGGGATCGCATTTACATAACAGGCCGGGGTTTGGCACTCATGCAAATTGATCAAACCTCAGTTGTCTCGTTTTTTATTTAAGATTATTTTTTGGCCACCTGTATTTTTATTATAGAGACAGAAAGGGGGGGGGGGAACAGAGGGGATGACATACGAAATGGTCCCCAGGTTGGAATCAAACCCTGGTCTGCCTCAATGCAATTGTGCCATTTTGTTGTTATTTTGAGTTATATTAGATTGAGATAAGTATATACAGAAATGTAGAAATGACAAGCTAATAAACATTTTACAGCAGAATAAAAAATAAATAAATAAAAACAGACAGAACTTTTTCACTTCAATTTATCGCCACACTGGCACTTTGCATGTAAATGAATCCTAAATGTGTAATTACGAGGCACTTTTGAATATTGATTGGACAGACAAGGACATAGAAATGAAGCACTTGTGAATGCACCCCCCCCCCCCCCCCCCCCCTCTTTCTAAGCTACTGTAACATCCCATTAATAAATACCTTTCTGGCTCTTTAGTGCCGGGCTTGCCTTACCACTGAGTGAAACAATGTCGTTTGATTTTCTGCTGATATGGCATGTGTACTTCATAGATGGATGGATGGGATGGATCCAATTAGCCGTGGTCATTGCTCGTGTATTTAAGCTGACAGCGGGAGTCTAGCACAGAATATCCTTTATTCTGGTAGTTTTGTGAGATGCTCTTGCGAAGGGGCTTTAAAAGCCCATAAAGAGCACATTGTGAAGAAAGCACCTTAGATGGAGATTTGATTTACAGCCGGGGCAAACTTTCTCAATTAGACATAGGAGGGAAATAATTGATTTTCAGTAGGCGGCGTATGATGATGGGGGATAATAAAGTGACCAAGATCCAAAACCTTTCACTTATTATACACAATCAACACTTCAATTACGTCTGACTTTCACTTAAGATTCCACACTGGGTTTATTAGCATATAATGCATCTTTTAATACGGAGCACTCACATTCTGCACAGCATGCATTTGCAGCAGGAATCCATCAAACTAATTCTATAGATATATCCCAATATCACACATTACACATTTGTCTCTGGGGGCTTTACAGTGTGTAGTATACCCTCTGTCTGGGGGCGACTGTGGCTGCGAGGGAGTGCGGTCGTCTTTCAACCAGAAGGTTGTGGGTTCGATCCCAGCCCATGCAGTCAACATGTCGATGTATCCTTGGGCAAGTTACTTAACCCTGAGTTGCTCCCG